AGCAGCCCTCGAACTCTCACAAAGCGAGGGGGGAGACTCAGGGGTCACAGCCATTGGACCTGCGCGCCCTCGTGGGGTTTCCCTGGGTCCTGAGATGGAGCTCACGCTCAGGGAAGCCCAGGCAGGGCGAGACGTATGGGCAAGTCTCCTTACACCCGTTGCCTCTGTTCACCTAGCAGTGATTAGGAACCTCGGTGTCAGTCGACTGTTGTGGGTCGCATCCTGGGGAATGGTCAAATGCTGCACATATCCGAGGTATACTCGAATTTCCCACAAACGCCGCAAGGCTCAGCACGAGAAAAATAGCCGAAAGGCTACAGTACTAAGAAACTGCCGCAAGGCAAGGCAGGGTACTGCTAACTGGCACCCAAGTCTACCAAACAACTTTCTAATAGCTGAACCCGCGGGACGTGTACACTCACGGGGACCTAGCAGGGGGAACCACCTGAATAGACAAGAGTACAGTACAACTTTGATTCAACACACTATATGGGACCAATGGACCAACCCCAGTGCGTTGGAGCGTTGGATGTGTTGCAAGAGGTGACCTTCGGGAGGCGTTTGCGTCAGTGTCTTCTTTTTTCTTGTACTCAATAAAAATGCATTACCATATTATATGCTGAACCTATATTTAGTAGTATACCCGACTAAAAAATACTGTTACATTTGTTATTTACCTTATTGTTGGAGTTATGTCCATCTTGAAGTCTCATGGAGTTGTGAATGCTCTAAAGTAAATACGTACTGTACTATAATGTATTATACCATTAACACTGGGTTGATTAAGTAGTTCTGCTGTATGTTGAGTACTACAATACAGTTTATGAAAACTATTGTACACTAAAATTACTGCAACTTTAATTTTAACACTGGGTACACATTTAAATTTAACACTTGTTCTAACTGTTCACGCCACACACGATGTTTTTAGATGTTTGCATCAGCTTTGCTGGTGCTGGCTGCTGTTGTACCAGTGCTGGGTACGGCTGTGCTCGTGCCGGGTACGGCTGTTCTCGTGCCGGGTACGGCTGTGCTCGTGCCGGGTACGGCTGTGCTCGTGCCGGGTACGGCTGTTCTCGTGCCGGGTACGGCTGTTCTCGTGCCGGGTACGGCTGTTCTCGTGCCGGGTACGGCTGTTCTCGTGCCGGGTACGGCTGTTCTCGTGCCGGGTACGGCTGTTCTCGTGCGGGTACGGCTGTTCTCGTGCCGGGTACGGCTGTTCTCGTGCCGGGTACGGCTGTTCTCGTGCCGGGTACGGCTGTTCTCGTGCCGGGTACGGCTGTTCTCGTGCCGGGTACGGCTGTTCTCGTGCCGGGTACGGCTGTTCTCGTGCCGGGTACGGCTGTTCTCGTGCCGGGTACGGCTGTTCTCGTGCCGGGTACGGCTGTTCTCGTGCCGGGTACGGCTGTTCTCGTGCCGGGTACGGCTGTTCTCGTGCCGGGTACGGCTGTTCTCGTGCCGGGTACGGCTGTTCTCGTGCCGGGTACGGCTGTTCTCGTGCCGGGTACGGCTGTTCTCGTGCCGGGTACGGCTGTTCTCGTGCCGGGTACGGCTGTTCTCGTGCCGGGTACGGCTGTTCTCGTGCCGGGTACGGCTGTTCTCGTGCTGGTTGATTTTCTGCTACTAGTTCTTGCAAAATATTACTTCATTTTTGGCATTAATAAGGCACTATTAGTAAGTCCCTGAGACATTTTGTTATATAACCATAGAGCTGTAGTCAAAAAATTGTAAATTCCACAATTATTCTTCCACCAGCGGATAAATACTGTACGTCAATCACAGACAAAGCTAAGGGCACTGGGTGCATACTGTACGAACGCAGACTAGGTCTATATGTACACCCTTCAGTAGGCTGGTGTTTAAGCCAGATCCAGTAACATAAATTTCTCTCAAATATTCGATTTACATCAAATTATATATTTTTGGGTTATATATTTAGTTTAGCAACATTATTACGATAATAAGAGCTATAAAAAATATTTATTTTGGAACTGATTTATTAATTTTATTTCAAAACCATAGGTCACTGAACTGTGGTGACGAAATCAAACAAAACAAGCATGGTGTTGTGTGGAAAGGGATTAGACCCGCCCACTCGCGCTGGAGTTATGCTGCCAATAACATGAATAATAGCTCAAATAGCAGATATCTATCATATTACAGTATATTTTTGGTTTTATTTAGTTTAGTTTAATTAGGATAATAAAGAGTTATTAAAACACCAGTTTTAGAAATGATTTATTAATCTGAAACGTTCAAAGTCATGGGTCACTGAACTATGACAACACAGACGAAAGTGAGTGAAACCTCACTGTAAAGGGAGGTTTACAGTACAGTCTGTCCCTTATCTGTCCACCCTCACTCATCTTGTTTCATCACAGAAAATGTATATAAGAAGATTTCAACACATTAGTTAGCTATTCACGCTCTAGCCTTTAAATTAATTTACAATTAATTAATTATTTAAGGCTTCAGCCTTAAATTAAAGTGTGCCACAAATCAGTGAACGAAAATCATTGAAACTCAGTCGTTCACTTGTGTGGACTACTCTGGCTGGTGTTTGGTTAATATGCGTCACTTCTTGTGCACCATTCTGGCTGGTGTTTGGTTCATATGGTTCACTTGTTGTGTGGTTCACTTGTGTGATCCAACTTGTCTTATGAAGTAATTATTAATTGTAATCTGTAATAGAATGAGACAGTTTTCCACCACTCTGTGAACTCTGTCCCAACATCTTAAGCTTGTGGACCACTTGTGGTCTACTTGTGTGGTTCACTTGTGTGGTCCAACTTGTCATATGAAGGAATTATTAATTGTAATCTGTGATGGAATGGGAAAATTTTCCACCACTTTGTGAACTCTGTCCCAACATCGTAAGCTTGCGGACCACTTGTGCGGTCCACTTGTGTGGTCCACTTGTGTGATCGAACTTGTCATATAAAGGAATTACTAAATGTAATGTGTGGTAGAATGGGAAAGTTTTCCACCAGTCTGTGAACTCTGTCTCGACATTGTAAGCAAATCCGAACATCCCCCACTTCGGGGAACCATTGTTCGTCGAACCGGGTGAGTAAATCCGGCCTGAAAAGTGGGCGAACTAGCTGGAGATTTGTTGAATCAAGGTTGTACTGTACTCATTACACAGGGGGCAATAACCAAGGCAGACCCCCACCAGTCAAGCAAACAAAAAGAAAAAGAAAACCCCGCAAGAGGACAGCGTACCCAGGCGGAATAGAGCCGGACACTATGAATGGTGAAAACAGGCTGAGCAGTGCAAACTGCCTCCTACCCTAAGGGGAACAAGGGGAGTCAGAAGGCCCTAGCACACAAAGGGCGGCCAAAAACCGAGCAGTAAACGGCCAAGCAGAGGCAGAACCCAAGGAACTTGTGGAAGGTGGCCCCAAGGGCAGTATTTACCGGGCACCTAGGAAAGGGAACCCTAGGCGCATGCAGCTCGAGTACTGAAGAAATACTCCTGGCTCACACACCACTGAAAAGACAGCCACCACCTACAAGGCATAGAGCTGAAACTAAGTCTGGAGCCATAACACACGACCTCTGCCTAGCGCATCAGCCTCGGAACCATGGTGTGGATTGCCGGCGCAGGGGTCTTGGGCTCCCCTTTTTTCCTTCCCGGGAGGGAAGAGCTGTGCAGATAGCGGCGCAGCGATTTGTGATGTCATGCTTGTTTGCTTGTTTCTGTTTGGCGAGTTCTGTTCACTAGTTCAGCTTTTTGTAGCAATTTTCACCAGAATAGGGGTTTGTTTTGGGGCACTTACCTTTCTGGGTACCTGACCCAGTCAATGGCAGACAGAATGCTTCCAACCACACGAGGGGTTTCTATAGACCATTGCTCCTCATGCCTCTCTGAGGGGGCCAGGTTCTGGCTCGCGTCCCCGATAGGCCCAAAGAACTCCATACACATGACTGATGCCAAATTCTGACATTAGCAATATCAGCCTGGATAGCTCCAGAGAGCCAAAGGGGCTCCCCCCAGAAAATTTTTCCATTTTCTTTTGATAGGACCCAGGACATGCAATGTCCTTTTAACAACCTTCCTCAGTATTTATATCATTGTGAATATACCCATTCATGTTGCCTCTGCTTTTATCTTGGCACTTATGACTGTGAATAACTTAAGCAAGCTGATGCGTAAAAGTGATAATTATGTGACCACATTAAATGGTGCAAACATTACGAAAGACAGACATTTGGTTTGTTAAATGTAGAAACTGTTGTGTATTTGGATTCAAGGATCTTTAAGACAATCAACATTTTGATGACAATAAAAATAAAGAGTGGCATTATTTGAGGACTAAAATGAAGAGTTCAAAGGCATTAATCTACAGCAAGATGTGGATGGTTTGAGAGCTTTAACCATACCTGTACTGTAGTTGCAACTTGCACATCAAAACAACTGGCAAAGAGACGAGTGCCGACAAGGAAGCAGCCAAACAATGCCTTCATAAGATGAAAAGGCAGACAGTCCCGACTCCCTTGTCAGGGTAGCTCTTCAAGTAAAACACACTGCTTACCAAGTCTCAACACACACACACTCTGCTCCTATCATGGTGCATACAAATGTATTGTACTAGTACTCCTATCCTTTTTTTATTCATGAATTTTACACAATTTTAATTTTTCCAAGGAACGCAGTCTGAAATAACAAAATTGAATTTGTTTGACATATAGGTTTTGCATTATGGTTCTCCATTTTGATACAAGTCCATGTTTCCAGGATTGCTTCTTGGAAGTAAATAGAGGGATTATAATACAGTAGTATATACACAAGGCCACCCATGAGGAATAGTGAAGAAGAGATCAGTTTTTCTCACTCTCAAAGGGAATAAATCAATCCTGTAGTTCAGGAGTCAGAGCAGTTGGTTCACAACCAAAAAAATCCCAGGTATGACTCCCACAACAGGACAGATAGGAGGTCTAACAAGCTTCCTGTGCCATAAACTTAAGAATTATATTGAATACTGATAACTACCACTTACCAATGAACAAGAACATTTCCTTTTTCTTGACCTTCTCTTATGAACTTCACAGCTTCTTCAAAATGACTCAAAAGGTCCTCATTTGCCATGTCATTAACTAGAAAAAGAGCAAAATCAGATATTAATGTTAAGTGTATGTTAAGATTAAGTTAGTTTTTACTGTACAGTACAATACTGTACTGTATTTTTAAAGGTTCATATATATCACAAACAGACTTGGCACCTATGTATTACCACAAATCACAATTAGTAGACATCCATGTCACCCAATTATAAATTCCCTTAATTTATTCATCTTTTCAATTTCAAAGCAACAATGGTAACTAACATGTTTTACATTACAGCTGAAGTTTGTAATAACCTCTGCAACTATTCCCTGCTAACTGGAACAACACTCTGGTGCTCCTCTGTACATACAGCATAATTATTGTGATGCAATATCCTCTCAAGTCTATGGTTGCCACACAAACTACTAATCCACAAAGCTAAAAAAAAAAAAAAAAGGCGAAATGAAACACCACGATCTGGGATACATGTCGGTAGATCTACACACCTTACATCACTAGGTGTGTAGGACAACTGTGAAAACACCAGACTTTATGGCAATCTTAGTATGCTAGTGAGGAGCTTGTGGTGATCAGCAGGGGTGCAGTGCCAATTTTATAGTTACCAGAGTTCTGGTGGCCCTTACAAAAGCCTGTCATTTCCTATCCTGTTTACATATATGTTACATAGTTAAATATTTCATGTTTGTAATCACTAATTATCATAAAATATAATTATCAAACAAAGAAAAACATCAATCATGTATCTGTCAATTTAAGAAGTTAAAACACGTAGTGGTCACAAAATACAACCAGTGAAAAGGTTCACAATAGTTTCTCCAAAGGGTCAGGTGTGAGATGTTTTTGGGGGTCTGAAGCAACTCGTCCTGGTGTCATCTGCCGATCTGTGGTACCACAGCCATGATATGCCATATGGCTCAGGATTCCACTGAACTAGAGGAGGTCCATGTAATTTAACAAACATAAGTGCTGATACATGATTTGAGAATTCTTGAGCATGTTGTTGTTATTATCAGGTTCATGTGACTGAATCCCCTCACACACTTAGCGGTACTAATAGGAATAACTTGTAAACAGCTCAGTAATAGGTGTAAATCTTGGGGGATGCGGCATCCATGATCCTCCACATAGTCTCTAAAGGCATTTAGTGTAGAGTAAGAAGAAAGCTTAAACCTCTTACAGAGAGAGAATATTTTAGCTTCTCCATAATTAAGTGGTATTTTATCAGGCCAGCCGCCAGTAGTCTTTTCATGGACACACATTTCACTAAGCTGTAAACCCTCTCACCAGTGTAATAGGTCTGCTCCCTGGAAAGTACAGAAAATAGACGTCGAAATTGTACCCCTGAAGGTGAAAAAGATTCATCATGAACCGGGACAATTACGGTGTTTGTATGGAAGCATGATATCTCGGTTACCAAGAGGCAACAGTTTACATGCATATTGCGACGGGTCGGTGGCGGAGGATGGCAGGGCAGGGTGTGGTGTCCTAATAAGGGAATATACGGAGTTTGGGACTGTGGACAGGATAATTGAACTCCGGCTTAGTAATTATATATCATCCACACAAGCTGAACTGCAGGCCATTCTGGCGTGTTTGGAGGAAGTACGTCATGACGACAAAAATGTTTTTGTATTTGTCGATAGCCGAGGAGCACTGGAGTCCTTAAAGAGTCGAAACCCAGTCTTCATGTCTATAGTTGAGGACTGTAAGAGAAGAATAACTGAGATACAGCTGAAAGGTTATAGTGTGAAATTCATGTGGATTCCATCTCATGTTGGAATAGTGCTCAACGAGGTGGCGGATGACTTGGCCAAACGTGCCACATCAAAACCACAAGTTGACATTGAATGTGAATTCACAATGAGACAAATAAGAAGCAAAATCAGAAATATTCAGGCACAGGCAGGAGTGGAGAGGAGAGAGATAATGTATGAGAGAAGTCAAACCATGCAACACTACATGTATGCGAGTCAAAACACCCATTTCACTTATGGTAAGAGGAGAAATGCTTGGAGTGACTCTGTGTACATGCGACTCAGGCTTGGGCACAAATATTACTGGGAATATGGAATAGGTGTTCATGATAATGACACGAGGTGTAAACTATGTGGTATGTTAAGGTCTCACACCCTTGCCCATTATGTTCTTGATTGTCCGTTGATTAATGTATATAGAAACACTGAGATAAGGACTGTTCCTGAACAAATAGCCTGGATGTGTCACAACGGAAAGGTTGATGATATTCTTGAGAGATATAAAAATTTTGCACCAAGACTGTAATATTTTGTTGAATTATCTGCATGTCTCTTGCAAATTGTCTATACAGTATACCTAGGTCATAAAAGTATTTGTGTGTACGTCTGATAACATACTACTTGTGAAGGAGGAAATGTATATGTTTATCTTTCAGAATGTTTGGTAATATGTTTATTTGTGATGTGTGTCTATGTATGTATTAACACGTTGTACTGAATGGGGTGAGAATAGCTTGAGCTACCTCATCCCTTTGTGTGTATTTTACCTCAATAAACTTATTTCAATTTCAATTTCAATTTCACTAAACAGTAATTTATACATTCTTTGAGGTTCAGAAATTTGAGAGCCTTTCATGGATGTTGTCGTGAACATGCGGTGCTGCAAATTGTTCACAACACTAGTAAGAAACTGCTGATAATTAATGGAGACAATTTTCTTGTTGCTTATTATGGTAATTCATCCAAACTCCACCTTTTCAATTGCCTTTTGAGCTTCTAAAGTTAAAGTGCCAGGTTTCTCTTTTAGTCCATGTAATGACCTTATGCTCTGTTGAATCAGTTTGTCTGCATACACAATCGAAGTAGAGCGTTTCTGTAAACACTCCGACAATAAACCAGGTTCATGCAACGTGTCAAGCATTAGAGCTAAATCCAATGGAAACTGTTCTGAAGTTAGCATTTTCAACAGAACAACTTTGGTTTTTCTATCACTTCCAAATCTTGTTTCATCTTTCCCTGCTTTTTCAAAATGAAAACAAAGTGCTTCATAATTTATCCACACTGCTGAAACTGTTCAAAACAAGATGGCCACCCACCTGGTGCTCAGAACACGATTCAGGATTCTTGGCTGTTCGTTACCTTGTGGGCCCAGGTTACTCCTGGGCCCAGTTGGGCCTGTGTCGCTTTGGGTCGGCGGATGTGACTTGTTGTTTCGACTTCGGGTAGAGTAGTGTGCGGCGACCGCTTCCCAGGTCAGTCCTAATTTTTCTTTTTCCTCTGTGGTTAGTTAGCTCTGGGAAGCCATAGGGGCTCCCCCCAGAAAACCAGCATTGAATGTAATGAAACGCCATTTTCTGGGAGAGTCCTGGAGGCTTCCCGGCATCCCTCCCTCCCTCCGGTCAGCGTTTTTTTTGTGTGTTTTTGACATCCAGCCTCAGAACTGGGGTGTGGATCGCTGGTGCGGTAGGTCTGGGGCTCCCCCTTCCCCCTCCCGGGGAGGGGGGCTGCCCCTGCTTGTATTAAACTGAAGAAAGGCAGCTAGAACAAAAAGCAATTCAGGAAAGAAAGAAAAATCCAAAATACTTCATCACATATGCGAAATCAAAAGCAAAAACCACTGCCAGTATTGGACCAATTCGTACAAGTGAAGGTTCATACACGGAGGATGACAAAGAAATTAGTGAAATCCTAAAAAAGCAATATGAGGACATGTTTAGCATTCCAATAAACAACATGAAAGTGGAAGATCCAGACAATTTCTTTATGCGGGATATCCAAACACCTGTAAATATAACTGATATCAACACAAGCGTACTAAACTTTTAAACAGAAATTGAAAACATGCCCATGCACTCTGCTCCAGGTCCAGATTCATGGAATTCTATACAGTATTTATAAAGAAATGCAAAGTGCCGGTAACACATGCACGTGGTATAGTGTGGAGGAAGAGCTTGGACATGGGGGAGATACCAGATGCACTTAAAGTAGCAGACATAGCCCTCTACACAAAGGAGGGAGCAAAGCATTGGCAAAGAATTATAGACCAGTTGCACTAACGTCCCACAAAATAAAAGTATTTGAGAGTGATGAAGAGTCAGGTCACCAATTACATGGAGACCAATGACCTTCACAACCCAGGCCAACATGGATTTCGAGCGGGAAGATCGTGCCTTTCCGGCACGATCGGCCGGAAAGCCGGTCGGCCGAGCGGACAGCACGCTGGACTTGTGATCCTGTGGTCCTGGGTTCGATCCCAGGCACCGGCGAGAAACAATGGGCAGAGTTTCTTTCACCCTATGCCCCTGTTACCTAGCAGTAAAATAGGTACCTGGGTGTTAGTCAGCTGTCACGGGCTGCTTCCTGGGGGTGGAGGCCTGGTCGAGGACCGGGCCGCGGGGACACTAAAAGCCCCGAAATCATCTCAAGATAACCTCAAGATTTCACAGCTACTTGATCACTACAACAAAGTCACTGAAGCATTAGAAGAAAAACAGAATGCTGATGTGGTATACACGGACTTCGCAAAGGCTTTCGATAAATGTGACCATGGAGTGATAGCACACACAATGAGGTCAATGGGAATAACCGGTAAAGTAGGACGCTGGATACTCAGTTTTTTGTCAAACAGGACTTGATGAGTAACAGTCAATCATATAAAATCGAGTCCAAGCGCAGTTAAAAGCTCTGTACCTCAGGGTACAGTCCTTGCACCTCTGCTTTTCCTTATTCTCATATCAGATATAGACAAAAATACAAGTCACAACTTTGTATCATCCTTTGCAGATGACACAAAAATCAGAATTACCTCGGCTGAAGACATTGAAAAACTTCAAGCAGATATTAATAAAGTTTTCGACTGGGCAACAGAAAATAACATGACGTTTAACAGCGATAAATTCCAGGTACTCAGGTATGGGAAAATGAGGACCTTAAACATAATACAGGGTGCAAAACACAATCAAATGTGCCCATAGTAGGAAAACAGCATGTAAAGGATTTAATAATAATGATGTCTGACAACCTAACGTTTAGGGAGCATAACCAAACAAATATTG